TTGAAGTCCCCTTTCTGGAGTGCTGAGGTTGGGGGTGCTGGGCTAAGACCTTTGACACATTTACATTTAAATTTACCTGCTGAAATCCAAAAATTTTTCTCATGATGGCCAATGTCAACAATGCCCAATGTTCATAAAAAGTCATGGTAATATAATAGACTAGATAATTTTGTGATATAAATTTAATAGATTGATATAAAACATAATAGAGACATATATAACCACTGGTTGAAAGTTTAACATAAATTTTAAGATAAAACTTGGAACATCTCATATAAAATGATGGAATAAATAGTTTAGTCATGGATGGTTAATAACTGATAAATATATAAGCATATGTTAGTTTGACAATGTGAAAACTGATATAAATTGTGAGTAAGTTACTACAAAAGATTCGCAACCAACTGACACACTGTATGTATATAAAATGGAAGATGGTTTTATGTTTTTATGTTTTGTATGTGTATGTTTGTTTTTAAAAATAAAAATTCTTTATTAAAAAAAAAAACCAATGCTCAATGTTATCATGAGAGCCGGTTTAGTGCAGTGGTTAAGGTACCAGGCTAGAAACTGGGAGATTGTGAGTTCTAGTCCCACCTTAGGCATGAAACCAGATGGGTGATTTGAGCTGGTTGCTCTCTCCCATCCCAAGGAAGGAGGCAATGGCAAACCGCTTCTGAAATCTTGCCAAGAAAACAGTAGGGAGTTGTCCAGGCATTTGCCAGGTGTCAGACTGACTCGAAAGTGCAACAACAATGAAATATTTGAAAATCCCAAGCCTGAATCTCCACCCAACCTACTGGGCAATCTGGCAAGATCTCTTTTTCATCCTTGTCTACTTTATAACATTTCCTTGAAGATAAAATGAGAGGCACCGAACCTCATGTTTTTTGGCAAAAGAGAAGGTTAACATCAAAACTAAAAGCCATTATATTCTCTAATTCCAAAGCATGGGGTTAGACCGAGCCATTTTATTGCTTGAAGCAGACTAGAAAATTCAATCTCTGCTAATTCAAGTGTGTAGTGCTTGTGGCATTGTGGAATTTGAGGCAACAAATCTTTAAGTGCTTCACTTCCCTGGCAGTAAAAACACAACCACTAGTTAAACAGTTAACCATGTGCTGCCCTTTCTTGGCATCTAAAATCAGTTGCTGCTTTAGTGGTAGATTTAGCGTGACTTAAAATCCCTGCCCCCTCAACTCTTCAGCTCTGAACTATATTTTCATTATATGGGTATTTAGTCTTTCTCTCGTCTTCTCCCAGCAATCACCCAGTTCTGTGATACCTGTATGAAGAACTCCAGTCTTCAACATTTATTTAAGTTCCTGCTTCAACCCCATTACCAACTTGTTTCCTTCAAGTTGTTTCTGGTGTATTCCTTTCTGTCTATACTCAGCTTTAGCCAATTCCTAGTTCTCCAGCTTGACTTTGCTGCTTGAATTTGCTCAATAGTTTCCTGTGAATCAAACTATTTTGTGCATACTAGCTCTATTGTTATTTGTGCTTATCATCACTTTATTCTGGTATCTCTGCTTGGTCAGTAATATGACCTTAGTGAAAATATGTTGGGTAAAAACCTAAATTCTTCCAAAAACTAGCCTTGCCTCAAGGCTTTGCATTCCTGTAGTTTTGCTACATACTGTACTCTAGTATCTTCATCAGGAATATACATATTTCCTTGGGGCAATGTGATTGCTTATCTTCTTTTGCTCCTGCTTCCTCTAAACAACAGTTTTGAAGCCATAATTGGTAAGAGTATCACTTGGAGAAAGGCTTGTTGGATGAAACATCTGGTTGAGATTCCATGTACAGATACATTTGAACCCAAGCCTACATCAGCAATCTTATTGGAACTTCTGAATATGTGTAGAGAACTTTACTATCCCTATCCCCACATACTGAAAATTTAAAGAGTAAGGCCTTCTTCTATAGAACAATATCTCTTGGGATATTGATGCTATCGGATTATTTTGCTGATAATTTAAAGAATAAGGCCTTCTTCTACAGAAGTAAGGATATCTCCTCGGTTAGTCTAGCATTAATATTATGAGCAAGATAAAGGAAAGACCTGTAACTTGGTGATTTGTCTGTGGATTTGAAAGAAAAGGTTTAGAAGTTATGGAATGGAAAATAAAATATTGGGCCAAGTGATTTCATGTTGACTGTGTACGCAAATGCAACTATTATATATCCTTTCCCAAATTTGTCCTTCTATTATTCCCTTGTGTGAAGACCTTGTTTAGTACTTCAGAAATTGTGCTCCAAATTCTTAGCCTGGGGCCCATGAGGGGGGAAATGGAATCATTACCATAAACTTGAATGTTTCAAGCCTGATAAAGTTCTTTTCATGTAACCCATCCATGACTCCTTGGTGCCAAAAGCTTGTACACAGTGATTGGGTTAACATTTTTTTTGTTAATTTGTGCCTTCAAGGCAGTGTTGATTCCTACTGACTGCCTGGACTGGTTCCTGCTGCTTTCATGTCAAGATTTTTCAGAGGTGATTTGACATTGCCTTCTTCCTAGAGCTGAGAGAGAGTGACTATCTCATGGTCATCCAGTTGGCTTCGTGTCTATGGTAGAACTAGAACTCACACTCTCCTGTTTCTAATCTGTGGCCATAACCATTATACCTCACTCTTGGGTTAGCATCCTGTCCTACTATACAAACTATTTAATCATGATTTATTAATTAATTAAACCACAATTATCTAGGGAATTGATTGTGGCCAATTCCCAGCCCTAGGATCCATTCTAATAATTTGCAAGCTTCTTCCATTAAAAGAAATGGAAAAAAAAATACTTAATGCAACCTCTGGTAACATGATGATCTTCAAATATCCTAAGCTATACAGCAGACATGTCCAAACCATGGCCCATGCCGCATGTGGCCTTGAACAGATTGTAATGCAGCTCCACAAGATTGTAAACCTTTAACATTTCTATGTGATTTTTAGATATATTTTCGTACATTATGCTCTTCACCTAATGCAGCCCAGACAAGCCAAAAGGTTGGGCATCCTTGCTATATAGTGTAATACAGATTTTTGCTCAATCCATTTCTCTTGCAGAGAGATGAATCTTGGAATTGAGAGAACTTTCCCTCATTTGGAAACTCAATTAGCCTTCTTTATCCTGAATTTCTCCAGATGCCCTTGATAGATAATATTTAGTTATTTTGGAAGGTATTCTCCAAAAAGTTCTGAAAACCCAATATTACTTTGATATGGACAGTATAAAAAATGGGTGATGTATGAAAAAAGAGGGTGTGATGGCTCAGCAATTAAGACACCTGGCTTGTTGGTTGGAAAGTTCATCGCCCAGGTTTGAGACCTGTGCACTGCATGATGGTCCCAGCTCCTATATACCTAACAGCTGAAAAGCATGCAAATGTGAGTAGATAAATATGTACCACTTTGGTGGGAAAATAACAGCATTTCAACATGTAGTCATAATGGCCACATAACCAGAAAATGTTGGCTCCCCCAGCTAAGAAATGGAGATGCCCACTGCCCACTAAAGTCTGAAATGACTGGACAGGGAAAACCTTTACTTTTACAAAAAATTACATCTTTCAGTGAGGGCTCCTGATGTAACCTACAAATGTCTTTACCTAACATAGCGGTCTCTATAATATACTTTCCATCACCTCCAGACTTTGCCCAATGATTGTACTGGATGAGTAGAGCTGTAGCCATAGGCAAACTGGTAGAAGATATGATGATGCCATTACATCATAATGCCACTCCACAAATTATATAATTTGAATTGTTTGGGTGACAACACTTTGTAGACATCCATGGTCATGCATGACTCCAAGGGAATAAAGAAGGTTAAATAACTTATGTAATATCTAATGTAAATATGTAATCGGAAGCATATTCACAATATCATTACACGTTGATTTTTTGGCATCATGGTAATTTATTATGAATGTTTCTATAAGGTTTATTTGTTTTTGTGGCAATATGTTGTGCAAATTCAGCCATAGAGCATAGCAGGTATGAACCTAGGCAATTGTAGTTTATTGAGTAAACAAACCATGGATTAACATGTAAACAGATTCAAACTGGGCTCATATGTGATACTAACAGCTTGCCTACTCATGATATACTGCAGCCATCTCTCATCTGATCATCCTCCATATTATTCCCATAATTCTCAGCAGTATTGCCTAGGAAGTTCTGGGAGTTCAAGTTATCATTTCTGGGTAACCCCAGATTGAGGAAGACTAGGCACATATAAGTACTGTAAGGCTATATTAGTCTGAGGTTGGGTGCTTTCATACACAACCAGTTCTTTTCTTGACCATAGTTCATTCCAATCTAATGAAGGCTCTACTGATCAGAATCAATCTCATTTAGCTCTTTGAGCTATGTCAAAGTTGGTTGGGTGCTGCACCTAACTGGGCTGGAATGGCTAGTGAATAAGCTTCAAATATCTAAGGCCATACAACATTCTAGATCAGTGTTTCTCAACCTTGGCAACTTTAAGATAAGTGGATTTCAACTGGCAGAATTTCCTAGTCAGCCATGGCAACCTACGTTGAAATCCTGTAAATCACATTATGACTTATCTGTGAACCCAGCAATAACAACCAACACAACACAGTATGTTTGTAGGGGTGTCCCCATTCAACCATTCATCATCATGGTTCTCTGCCTTCTGTTGGGCAAAGAAATGTAATTGGTATGAGTGTAATCCTCCCACACAAGTCATTCTTTCTCTTCTGCCCTCTTGCCATGCAAGCCTTTCTACTTTGGGAATGTCCTATTGTGTGAAACCATCCACCCTCCTCTTCAGATTCAATAAAATGGAAGGAATCCTATTAATGTTTTGGGCCCATGACCCTGAAAAAAAGAAAGAAGACTTTTTCCCCCCAGTAGTAGATTCTCAGGTTAGCATCAGAGTTACAGACAAACGCACAGAAAAGACGAAGGCAAACTGCTATATACAAAAGCATTAATTTTATTCAGGTTATATATTTTTTTAAAAAAAAGAGGAAAAAACTGGCTTTTGGTATGAAATGCATGCAACAGCAATTGCAAAAAAATTAAAAACAACAGGTCTAAAAGGCCACATCCCCTTTCTTCATAAAATACTGTACAACATGTCACAGCTTCAAAAACATAGATATAGAGTAACCATTTTTGCCCCCCACCCCACCCCATCCTATTGAACAGGATATGACTCTGAGCCATTACAGGCTATTTGGGATTGTGTAATGGAGGGGAGGGGGCAAGAACACCCAAAGGCATTTATCACAAACTACTTGAAAATAGGACATCGATTCAATACCTATCTACCTATACTGAATTCTTCTATCACAAATCAAGGATTCTCTTCAAAAGAAGAGCTGAAACACGTGGAAATAAATCTAGTTAGTGGTAACAGTGAGAGAGAAAAAATACTGATGGGCCAGAAATGTTGAGAAATTGTGGAGCAGGTCGCTCTGTTCTCCATAGGGATGTTCATTACGTAGTTCTGCTACTCTCAAGGAATCCACCAGTAATGAGCTTTCAGGATGGCAACTGACTGCATCAACACAATGACACGACTCTCTTAAACGTAGTTCTTGCTGGGGTAATCGCTGCGGGGTTGAGAGACAGCAGCTGTGTAGCGAGCACTGTAGTTGTTGCTCTCTTTCTTGGGGCAATTACAGCACAGCAATCCTCCTCCGAGGATCAGCAAAGCAGCCGCTGCCCAGCCAATGTAGAGGGATGAGCCCAACTCTCTCTTCTGAGCCTCCACAATTAATGGACTGTAGAACTCCCGGATTATAGTATTGGCTGACCAACAGACTGGGATGAGGCAAAGGATTCCAGATGCCACAAAGATGGCACCGGAGACAATGATGATACGTGCCTTGACGTCTTCCTCCTCCACACAGTTGGTGCATTTGGCACCCACGATGCCAACCATCAGGCCAAAGAGGGCCACAAGCACACATATGACCATGAGAGCCCGGGCGGTTTGCATATCCTGAGGTAGAGCCAGCATGGAGTCATAAACCTTGCATTGCATCTGGCCAGTGCTCTGTACTACACAGCTCATCCACAGTCCCTCCCAAGTGGTCTGGGCTGTCACAATGTTGGGACCAATGAAAGCTGTCACTTTCCACATAGGCAAGGCACACGTGATGATGGCCCCAATCCAGCCCACTACAGACAGGGCCATGCCCATGATCTGAAAAGCAGCTGACACCATGATTCAAGGTAGGCAGTCCTGAAGAAAAATAACAATTATATACCATAAGAATTTTGTGAAATGTTACCCTAATATAACAGTGCAACGTATCACTACATTTAATATTTGCCAAGGATGCTGCCTTAACTATCAACTGATTTCCCACCACTTTGAAACCAGAAACACATAAAGCCCTTAACAGGAATCTAAAATAATCTTATGCAAACAAAGAAAAAAAGACAGGAAAATTCATTCAAATTTATTTTCAGGATGTAACCTACCTTCTTTGCATCTAGTGCAAGGGTTGTGCGGGGTCCTTGGTGCTCTCTGAGCTTGCTTGTTTTCTTGCAGATGTTTCATTACCCTAACTAGGTAACATCATCAGTGCAAGGGTTGTGCCTTTCAGTTGGCCAGTCAAATGTCATTTTGATGTCTCTCCCACCCCACAAATGCTGCTATTTGCAATCACTGCCTCTTAGTTTGTCAAGTGATACCCCACATAAAAAGTAGTTCAGTTCTGCTGTAGGGACCAAGACATGCGTCCTTTGGCACCCACAGTTTTCTCTATACAGCATCTGATCTAGTAAAAAATCCTGGATTTGCTGGTGGGTACTAATTTAGCTACTGATTTAGAGGGAGATTATGCCAAATGATCCTGTAAAAGACATTACTAGGGCATAATGCACATTACTATACTTCCCAGGTCAAAGGTCAGAATATTGAATGTTGGCATGCATTCATCTGAGGATCCAGGACAAGATAAGTCCACAACTACTGTGAACCAGAAGAGGTAAGACCAAAACTTTGGGTTCAGCAGGACAGTTCCCTTTTTCTGTTACTAAGGAGAAATGGGGATTTGTAAAGCTTTTGGCTCTTGTCTTTGGCTTCTAGAGGGTATCAGGTTGGGGAGGCAGGTCTAAATCCAGGTTTTAAAAAAATCCCTTGGTCTAAACCAATAAAATTTCTTTGTGGCAAACCTTTGAGAAGCTAAACAGTGTTTCTCAATCATAGCAACTTTAAGACAGGTGGACAATCTCCCAGGATTCCCTAGGTAGCATGCTGGGTGTGTGGGGAGAAGTAATTCTTGGAGTTGAAGTCCACCTATCTTAAAATTGCTAAGGTTGAAAAACATTGCTCTAGGCAAACATGATTAAACTGAAGACTAAAACTTCAGACAAACAAAATGGTAATGATGAGATCATAAGAGCCAATATTCATGAAAGTTACAGATCCCATTATGCTAATGTTACAGACTCCCTCTTGTAGAGCCGGTTTTCCCTGGCCAACCCCCCCTCTCCCCCCCAGTAGTAAGGATTAGCTGTGTGTTTGTTTCTCAGCAAACTAAGAATCTCTCACTCATCCTAGGGAAGGGACTCTTTAAAAATAGCATTTATTCTCCAAATTCCAGGCTGCTTTTCCCTCCCATGGAATAAAGCGTCTATATAAGTGCACCATCGTGCTTCCCGCCCCTGTCCTATTGTCCCTATTTAATCATACTTATTTTCTGTATTCTTACTCATGTTTATACTAATACCTATTATTTTGTAAGCAATTGACAAACCAGATAAATAAAATAAATAAAAATAAATAAGAAATTGGAGGGCTCTTTCCTTGTCCTTTGGAGATCAACTCTAGATCCAGTCAGTTCTGGTTAAAAGTTGGATAGCTGGTAGGTATTTTGCAAGTCTAGAAAATATATTTGATAAACTTTTCTGTGGCAACCGAACCATTAAAGAAATTTTTCTGAACATTGGCATAAGTAGTTCCATTCTGATAATATGCCCTTGAGACAGGAACCATTGTTCCTTCACAAGGAGGACATTTTATATGTAAAAGATGCAGTTTCAGGCATCTTTGACTTAAAAAAAGATGTTATGTTAGAGGAGACAAAGTTGGAATAGCCAGAAGCTTCATTCAACTCCCAATTTCTTAGGTGTGTGTGCATGTGTTTTATCATTGTTTCTGGGTATTTATTTATGTTAATTGTGTTATTGGGACTTGGAGGTAGTTAAGCCATGTACAGTAGGCCACCTGGAGCCGCCTGGATTGCAAGTATAAATAAATAGTCTTAGCCATGTAAAGCCACAGTGGTATTTGCAAATAATGGAAGTCCCAGTTTCAAGTCCTCTCAGCTCAACATGGGAATTCACTAGGACACTCAATCATTCAGCCCAACTTGCCTCACTGGGTTGTTGTTATGGAAGTAATTGGAGGACAGCACACAATGTATAATGTTGCTTGAGCTCCCAAAGAAAAGGACCAATATCAGCAGTGGTGTGCGATTGGCTCAGTGGGCTCCATGGCCACCAGGAGGCTGCAAATCACCAAATAGCTGACTGGCATTTTAGACACTGCGCTCACAAGTCCTGCTCTCAAAATCCCTGAACATTTAACAATCACCTTCTCTGGCCCTGTGCAAGCTGGCTCCAGTGCATAAGGTGATTCAAAAGTAAATCTAACAATGACGGAGATTAATGGCTGAGTCAAGTGGGATTTGAACTTAATTTTCCCAGGTAAAGGGCAACATCTTAACCATTTCCAATTAAAGTGTAGACATTTCTCTGTAAGACTGTAACTTGAAAAATTTGGGATTTTTATCACATGCCATGCAAAGTCATTCATTGTTCTACCATTCTTTGAGCAAATCCTGTGCTCCAATTCAACCATTTGCCTGCTCTTTAATTTGCAAATGAATCTGTAATTGCATCCTAGCCACAAATGATGCTTTTAAAATTCTCCCATAACCCAGCCAAGCCAAAAATTTAAATCAGGTTTATAATTCTCCTTCAGAAATGCAGAATAAATCAGAATCTGTTACTTCAGATGCAATTACAAAGTAACTTTTAAAAGTCAGATTATGAAATAAAGTTAGGGTACATGTGAATATAAGGGTTTCCATCACATCATTCTCATTTCTCTAAATTTGCATTATGTCCCACAGCTGATGATTTAAAAAGCTAATTTCGTCAATTTGCCAAGTACCTGCTAAATTCTTCAAGGCTATGCTCATACTTTCCCCATGGTGAATCATACTGTCACAGAATCATGTCCAATTTACCAAAAAGCTGTAAGTATACTTTTGAGAGTTTATAATCTCTGTGGTTATGTGACCCATCTCCTGATTTTCAAAACATCCTACTTGATTAATTCTTTTGGAAAAGTAAAATATCTTTTGCGTAAGCCTTATACACTTTCTTTTGCTCATTTTGATTGAACTTAATAATCATTTTTTGCTGGTTTTTTGCTAGTCTTTTAAGTCCATCCACCACCTGATGACTTTTTCTTGGCCAAGAAGTGGTTTCCAATGATCTTACAAGAACTCAGAAGAGTGACTGGCTCAAAGTCACACAATTAGTTTCATTCCTATGGGAGAATTTGAACTCAGGTTTTCCTGCTCCTGGTCCAGCATCTTTATTAATTGTAATTCTTTAGCTATAAGAAATTGGAAAAGTATTATTATGTAAGCAAAATGATCCAGACAGTAAGCAATTCACAAATCATTTATGTATGTAAAGAGAAAATATATAAATAAACTGTAAAAAAAGAATTTCAAAATTCTAGATCATGGTCAATTTAAATTCAGAAAGGAATGGTTTTTTTTTTCACTACAGTATTAGGATCTCAAATTATGTAGGTCATAGATTTGCTACAAATGGAGAATTAAAGATTTGAGATTAAAGATATGATATTTGGATATTTTACTATCGCGGCTTTTACTATCATCACTGACCAAGTGGGAAATAGTAATTAACACTTGCTGCAATTGTTAAAAAAAGAAAATGGAGAAATCACTAGGTTTTTACACAAATCGTGACTTCTGTGAAGTTTATGATATAAACCACCATGGCAGGGGATCATGTGTAATAGCAATAGCGGTTAAGACATAAACTGCTAAGTGGTTTTACAAAGTCAGCATATTGCCACCAACAATCTGGGTCCTCATTTTATTGATGCCAGAAGGATGGAAGGCTGAGTCAATCTTGAGGTGGTGAGAATCAAACTGTAGAACTACTGACAGCCAGCAAAAAACAGAAGTAGCTTGCAGGACTGCATTCTAACCACTGCACCACTATCCATACTCATGGATAGCCACACACTAGAATTTTTCAGTATAAATGTAGTAAGTTAGAAGGTTATTGCTTTAGTTTGGCAAGATTCTGTTTATTAGCTGTAAGCAAATACGGATTTGGACCAGATTGGATTTCACTAGGTGGTCTTGGGCCTGACAGTAATAAACTCTTTTACTTCTGTTGATCTGAACTGCTATCTGCCAGTGTTGACTTGGAAGAAAACTGAATCAGCATGAAGCTTGCTTTGCCTGGTGCTCAATCTCTATCCTCCTTAGTTGCTTTTGTTTCATCTCATACCCATCCATAGTAGATTTATAGGAAGAGAGTCAGGTTAACCTTTAATGGCAAAAAAATCTACTTTGCTTCTTCACTTATAACACTGGATGTGAAGTCTAGTGGATCACCAAAGTGCAGGATCAGAAAAACATTTTAGATGCCATTTTAAATGGATAGGGATATCCTGCCACTCCTGCCACTTGGAGCAAACAATTTCACTCCAATATAATTTTATGACAATTAAGAATGAAGTGTTTGAGTGGGAAAACACATTCAGAAAATAAAGTGGATATAGAAAGGAATAGGAAGCAAAACCAAACAAATTTGGAATCATTTATTTAAATCGGTAGGGAAGGTAGTCAGGCAGCTAAATCTTTCTTTTTCCTGTAGGAGGAAAATTTGTTTTTTTTAAAAAAAAAATGATGTTGACATTTGACTCAGGAAAATCAGCCTAAGTCTGACTCAGCCTAAAGGTGGAGGCGGAAAAATGTGTTTTGGCTTCAAATACAAAGTTTTCCCCAACTCATCACTCAAACATTTGTTCCAAGACCAGCTCAGGCACTTGGTTTATTTTTTCTCTCTTTATCTCATCTTGAGTAGGAGCTTTTTAACTCTTCCTCCAATTAGTCATATACCTAGAATATAAATGGCTCTTGTGCAATTAGCTTTCCTCCCCCCGCCACTTTCATTGCA